GTTGGGGGAATTATAAGTTTGATGGCCAAAGAATATGTAACACCTCGAAATAATGATTTCCGATATAGGAAATTATATATGGATCTTCCTATCTCGCCAAGCTGAGTCGATCTAGCTATGTATGTCCGACCGTCTGTCCATGTTAATTTGTAATCACGCTACAAGTGCAATTCAGAATATTTTTTTGATTTTGCAGTTTCTCTATGGGCCACAATTATTAACCAATCAACTCCGAAATTGCATGGAGTTAGAGTTCAGGGCTGGGCCGAAGCTAAGCAATTTGGATGGTAATCGGACAATATTTAGAGGGTAAAATAAACCATAGCTTTTATATCAAAAAAATATGAAAATTTCCACTAAACCGCAAATATTTTAACCCGGCCAAATCACAAATAGATTATACATTTTCTAAGTAATTCTTACACCCTGCAACACTATGAGTTGAGGGTATTACATACAGGTCGCAATTATCGTACGATGCTCACGAAATTTTGCATGGGGTTAGGGTCAGAATTAAAGCCTATTGTGTGTGGAGATATACATTCAGGGGTTCAAATGGACCAAGACACAAGTACAGGTACAGATCACAATTAAAAACAATCGACACGGAATTTTGAATGATAAGAGAGTTAAGTACAGGAAAGCATTTTGCATGACCATTGGATTATATTTAGCTGTAAAATGGACCACAACTTTCGTATGAAATTGTTTTGAATACCTAACAACACGACGGAGCTCGTAAATATTCTCTATCTATCAAAAACGAAATCTTCCAAAATGGATGTGGACATAAGGGGGCTTCAACATATTTTAATGTTGTAGGGCATCACATTGTCGGCCCCTACGACCCTAGCCCTTTACACCCTTTACAAAATGCAAACACAGAGTTATAAGTAAGTCCGTGTTCAAAATCGTCAAAATATCGGAAGTACAGTTAAATTTTTAAGTATAAAATTCTAAGTCGATTTAACTATGACAGTCTGTCTGTTAAAATCACGATACAGCTCACGTTTTTTGACGTAGAGAAGAACAATTTGTATTCAGTATTTTGATTTGTCTAAAAAAGGTATTTGTAGTTCGTAATGGGTTCTAGTTCCGATGGAGGAAAATTGTACATATCAGTCCACGTTTTCTTGTAGCCCGATACAACGGTACCACCCGATATTCGGTATTTTAATGTTTTTAGCCACATTTTGTCCATGGATTTGTATAAAAATTGATATTTGTAGTTCTTTATGGGTTTTAGCTCCAGTATCGGAACGTTGTATATATACGTCCTCGTTTGCCTATAGTACACATTTAACGGTTCCATCAGATATTCGTTCAATTTTCGCAATAGATTACAATCGTTGTAATATAAATATGCCTATATAGGCTCCCATTAGCTCCAACCATTCTCCTACCCATCTACTGGAGTTGTAGTTTAAAGTGGAACACGTTTGGATCCAGATACTTTTGCATAAAAATGTTTTTGTTTTACCCAAGGGTAAAGGGTATAAGAAGTTCGATCCGGCCGAACTTAATGTCTTTGAAATTGTGGCTAAAATCATTGAAATACCGAATATCGCGAGGTACAGTTATGTTTGAAATTTGACTAGACTCCAACATCTGCACATCAACTTATATATTGACATAATCATTGCAAATGGCAACTTACATGTTGAAATACATAATGCGAATTTTTATTCATTCATCCATCATTACTTATAAGATTCACATTCTTTCATTTGGATTTATTGCCATGAAAAACTCACAGTGACATATTCGCATTACTCGTTTATTAATAAAAAAAAATCTCGCACACACACATGCACCCCTTTCAGTTGTGCGTGTAATAAAAATGTTGAATATACGCATCGTATTTTGAACGATTTATGAATGAAGGATTTCAAGGATTATACATCATGACCTGTACATTAACCCTTGGTAGGAATAAGACAAACGTTGGCACACACATGCTATTGTCTCTCTGCCAATAGAAAAGAGCAATTACATTCCTCCCTTTTGTTTGGAAGTGACATCGTTTTGTAAGTCCAAATCTCGGTTTTTTTGTGTTAGAAACAAATCGAAAAAACTCAACATTTTATCATATTTTCTTTTTCCTTTTTTTGATGTGAATAGGTCTCCCCAATTTTATCTAATCATGAACATCACTACCCATTCAACATTTGAGTGTTGAATGGGCATTCGTTCATATATTAGATTTTTCCAGTGTTGTCACAATAGATTTAGCTTTTTTCATTTTGATTATTAATGCGTTCATTGTTCTTTGGAAATTTTTTGCTTTTTTAGGGAAATTTCCCCCAAAAAATGTGTGTCACAAAATGTGTTCCACTTGAATAGTTTGTCATATAAACAAATTCTAAAGAGCTTGTCATAATAAATCTTTGGATAGCTGTTTGTAAAGTGACAGTCTTTTTTTCAGCCAAAGGGTTGGTAACCTTTGACGCGTTTTTTGCCTGAGCTGAATTGGGGTTAATAAGGGTCGCTTGACTAAAGGTTTATGGTTGTAATTAGTTGTTTTTTTGTAGTTGAAATAGAAATCAAATAATGTTCGAAAGCCATAAATCAATCAGGTTAGAACTATATACTTCGTACAAGAATCGGGATTAAGGTATATAACATGAATTTCTGAAGCTCTTTAGTGCTTACAATAAAGTACAAACTTATTTTTAATTAGTTAAAAATTTCTATGCATCCCTTTTGATATTTTTGACAAAGTTTTTTAAGCCTGTATAGAAAAATCACTCCGCTTTTTGGTATCTCATATATAATGTCATTTATCGACGACCACATGTGATAGTAACTGGTTAGAATTTGGTGTTTTAGGCTCTCTCAACTCGATACAAAAAAAAAAAAGAAGAAGCAGTAAAAAAGCTGTAAGTTCGACCAGGCCGAACTTTGAATACCCTACACCATTTGGAACGAAATTCGTAATTCTCAAAAAAAAAAAATAAATAAATAAATAAATAAATAAAAAATGCCGACTGTAGCCGTTATATTAGGGTCTATACGACGACGTTGATCTGCATCGGCAAGTTTTGTCATAAGTCATTACAATATTCAAATTCGAAACTTGAAAAAAATAATGTAGCTAAAATTATCAAAACACCGAATATTGGCGGGTAACATGGGAGCTATATCAAAACGAACACAGATAATTTTCTGTCTTTGGCTGTAGTATCTATTGCGAATTTCAAATACCAAATTTGAAATAATTCCGATGAATATGTAGCTAAAATCATTAAAATATCGAATATCGGGAGGCGTCGTAGTATGAGGGCTATACCAAATCGGCCCAAATGGCCCATTTTTAATACAAGAAGTCCTGCAGACATAATATACATTTGAGTAAATTTTATCAACCTAATATACTTTGTTCGGAAGCTTGAGTGGGTTTCACAGACGGATAGATGGATAGACGGACGGATATCGCTAAATCGACATAGAATTTTATGCTGATCTAGAATATATATATACTTTGTGGGGTCTAAAATGTATATTTAGAGGTGTTACAAACGGAATGACAAACCTGATATACACTCCATACTGTGGTGGAGGGAATAAAAAATCAATCAAAATTTCTAGAATGGTACCATTTGGTATTACATTGTGAACGAATAGAGCTAAAAACTTTGTTATGAAAATCAAGGTTGAAAAGTAAGTTTGATATAGACAAGCTTTACTAAATTTGAAGCAGTTTGGTTTAGGGTAAACCTATGAAGCTGGAATTTTAACATGTTGTATTGGGGTCCTTGTTTGTTGTAGGTATGTTATAAAGAGGGTGTTTTGGAAGTGTATACTCAAAGTGCTAAATAGTACTACATTTGGTTTAATTTGGTTTGGAGTGAAAAGATAGTGATTGAAATCTGAAATATGCCATCTGGGACATGTGTAGGTGGTTTTGGAACTGTGTACTACAATTGTACGAAAATAGAGCTGAAATCCTGAAATTCGATATAGATGTCACTTTTGGTGTCTGTGGGTTAGATATGGAGGTGATTTTGGGAATTTGTACTACAATTGTTCAAAAGGACTAAGTGGTACTAAATTGGGTATTGGGTGAAGATATAGAGCTGGAATCCCGATATAAGATATTAGGGTCACTGTTGGTATCTGAAACTGAGATATGTTTGATCCTTTGTGGAGGAGGTACTCGATGGAGTGGACCGAGATTAACCAATTACGCACTTGCAAATATGGAGCGAAATCGGATTATCCTTTCTCTTTCAGTGCAGTAAAATAAGTTTTTGATAATTTTGAAAACAAACCAAAGCATTGAAAATTGTGACACTTTGAAGGAGTGGACCGATATTGACCATCCTCGAAACGACAATATTATTACGATGTACCAAGCTTGGAACAAGTCGAATACTTCCTTCGAGAGTTATCGTGCGCACCAGCCATAACAGACAGGCGGGCGAACATTACTAGATCGACTCCAAATGTCCTGAAACGGAATAGGTCCAAGAGACCTAGGGTCTAAAATCGTTATTTAGATCGTTATATAACCTCTAGTTATATGGCTGAGGGTATAAAAATGTTTGTCAGAATGAACAAATTGTGCAAATTGAGTCCTAATAAGGCCTTACACGAACTTTTGGCACGAATCTAAAATTTTAAGTTGGACTTTTCGCTGACGAAGTGCATAAAAATATCTTTTGAGGACTTGACTTTATTTAAATCATAATTAAACAAATAAGCAAAGACTATAGTCGGGTTAGGCCTCTTAAGTGATATCCTACATGGCCAACACTATCCAAAAAAAAAGTTCGCCGGTTGAACATTTCATGTATTTACTTCATATGTGAGTTTTTGTCCACTTCATTTTTGAAGACCATGTTCCGAAACTCCCTTGGTATCTGGGAAGAACCCATATTTACTTAAACTGTGTTGCTGACCACAAAATTAAAGGGGATTTCTTTCTACGCCGAACAAAGAAAGACACAAAAATATTTAATGTAAGAATGTACTTCCCCAGCGTAATGACAGATCTTCACGCTGTCATCTACGAATATTCATTCATTATATAAAAGAACACATCTGTTTTAATAACTACATCATTCGTATTGAATATTCAAACAGACAGTAATGTATTCACAACGTTTTGCTCTCTTCTTTGTGGTACTCATTGTTTGCGCTTGGGGCTTGACAACTGCCGACTGGTTGGATGACTTGAATGATGGCACCGTGAGTAATTTATTTTTAACAAAATTATGAGGGTAATTTACAATAACAAAATTTATTTGGTATATCTGGTTTTAGAGTCGTCTGTTATCTACGGTCAATGAGAATGCTGCCAAGATCAATAGCATTGCGGATAATGTACGAACGATAGGTAAAATCTTGGAGAACGCAGATGATAGCAATGCAGATGAATAAATAATTTTAGACTTAATAAATAAAAAAAGATAAACATTCACTTTGTGTTTTTTTACTAGACAGAAGAAATTCAGCAGACAATGAACCGCTAAAAGTTAATTTTTAGACTAAAGATTTTCAAGTCAGCTTCTATGAACAGAAAAAATTTTGAAACATTTGCTGTAGATAAGGGCTTTTCGAGACGGGATCTTTACAAGTTCTTCTATAGAAAGAAACATTAAAATCTTGTAAATAGAGAGAATAGCCTCAAATGATCTTCCAAATTTTTGGAAATTTTCAAATAAAAAAATTAATAATAATAATAATGATAAAAATAATAACCAATAATAATAATAATAATAATAATAATAATAATAATAATAATAATAATATAATAATAATAATAATAATAATAATAATAATAATAATAATAATAATAATAATAATAATAATAATAATAAAATTAATAATAATAATAATAATAATAATAATAATAATAAAAACAATAATATAATAATAATAGTAATAATAATAATAATAATAAACAATAGTAATAATAATAATAATAATAATAATAATAATAATAATAATAATAATAATAATAATAATAATAGTAATAATAATAATAATAATATAATAATAATAATAATAATAATAATAATAATAATAATAATAATAATAATAATAATAATAATATAATAATAAATAATAATACTAATATAATAATAATACTAATACTAATAATAATAATAATAATAAATAATAATAATATATTAATAATAATAATAATAATAATACTATAATAATAATAATAATAATAATAATAATAAATAATAATAATAATAATAATAATAATAATAATAATAATAATAATAATAATTATTATAATAATAATAATAATAATTATTATTATAATAATAATAATAATAATTATAATAACAATAATAATAATAATAATAATAATAATAATAATAATAATAATAATAATAATAATAATAATAATAATAATAATAATAATAATAATAATAATAAACTCCGTTAAAAACTCGGTTTCAATATTAAAAGTACCAAATGTAGCCGTCATATTAGGGTCTAAACGACGACCGTAAACCTACATTGGCAACTTTTGTCATAAGCCATTACAATATTCAAATGCCAAACTTGAAAAACAAAAATCGGTGATTAATGTACTTCAAATCATCAATATTATATGGGGGCTATACCAAAATGTGGACTTGCACAGACAATTTTCTGCCTTAATTACGACCTTCAAACACGCAATTTAAAACAATTCCGGTGAATAATGTGGCTAAAATCATCAAAATACCGAATATCTGGAGGTACCGTTATATAGGGGACATACGAAGACGTGGATCTGCACCGACAATTTTTTTTCTTAAGCTGTAGTATTCATTACGAACTTCAAATACCAAATTTAAAACAATTCCGGTACATAATGTCGCTAAAATCATCAAAATACCAAATATCGGGAGGTACCGTTATATGGGGCCTATACGAAGACGTGGACCTGCATAGACAATTCTTTTTTCTTAGGCTGTAGTACTCAATACGAACTAGAAATACCAGATTTAGAACAATTCCGGTAAATAATATCGCTAAAATCGTCAAATACCAAATATCGGGAATCATCGTTATATACGGGCTATACGAAGACGTGGACCTTCACCGACAATTTTTTGTCTTAGACTGTAGTACTCATTACAAATTTAAAACAATTCCGTTAAATAATGTTGTTAAAATCATTAAAATACCAAATATCGGGAGGTACCGTTATATGGGGGCTATACCAAAACGTGGACCTACATGGCCCATTTCAATACCAAAAGACATAATATACATATGAGTAAAATTTTATCAATCTACTTCATTTTGTTCGGAAGCTAGAGTGATTTCCACAGACGGATATTTTTTGGGGTCTAAAATGTATATTTCGAGGTGTTACAAACGAAATGAGAAACTTAATATACCCTCCATACTATGGTGGAGGGTATAATTGTACCTAATAGGACTTTTAGAGACAGCGGTCCTTGAAACTTGTATTTATTTTATTCAAACAGAATGCCTTGAAAATGTCTTCTATATCAAGAGCAGGCAAAAATTACTTTCTTTTGATTCATTCTCTAAAAAATCTTATTTCAAAAACGATAGCACACCCCTTTGGCATCCCTTCTTTACAAGTTTTACTCACATCGCCACTTAAAATTCTGTTAATATTCGCAAGCACTAAATTCAAATTATGAATTTTCAATCAATATTTTTTGGAATATGAAAACCAAATCACTTGATGTCGATGCCCACGGTGTGAGTGTTATTCTATGACTCAGCTGGAGTTTAATAAAAATCCAAATATTACCAAATATGCCATTGTGTCGTGTACGTGTAATCTTTTCCCCCTTCGCTCTTATCAGACCTTGGGGGGATGGAGGTAGAAATACTCAAACAACACCAGGAGTGTTACTCGCAAATACCCTCAAGCTTCCGCTTTTCTTTAAAAATGAAAAATTCATGTTTACCGGAATAACAGCGTTTCTGAAATGTTATTAGTTGTCGATACAAATTGTAGTATTTGTTGTTGTTGTTGCCGTACTGTAGTAGCAATAATTCAATTGTTTTCAGGGGTTTATTGATTTCATATTGTTACTAATGTTTCATTAGATTTTCAAGAGTTATTGAGAATAAATGTGCGTGTTTGTGTCTGTGTGTTTATGAGTGCCAGGACACTTGAAATGATGAACAGATGCAAGAAAATATTAAAAGAAAATTTCAAGTGTCACAAGCTTTTTAAAATATTAACCCAAAAAGGAATTTGGAGTGTACATTTAAGTTATATGAGATTTTTTTGTAACATGCTTGTAAGTTTTAATAGAAATGAGAATAATACTCTGCAGGGATTGAATCGGAGTACGGAATCGGAATTGATAAGAACATGGGATTAAGTTGAAATATATTGGGGAATATCATCTAGTTCTTGCATATTCTTTAGTTGTCCAAATAATGGTACCCTATGAGAACTTACAGCGTATTTTACACCGAATATGATATAATTTGAAATTAGACGCTCTCGATAACTAAAAACTTTTCCCTCAAGCAATTTTTAATGTAGCTCCATTTGTTGTATATCATCCAAATTGCAGTACCACGGAGCAAGGAGGTGGGGTTGTAATCACAATCAAATCTTATTGCTTTCTGAGATGATCAAGAAATATTAAGCGGTTGAAATTGAAACGGAAATGTTCCTAATTTTGCAGTTGCTCTATAGGTCGCAATTATAGACCAATCGGATATAAGCATGGGGCTAGAGTTTAAGGCTGGGCAAAAGCCTACAATTTTATTTGGTCATCATACAATATAGGATTCGTTTTTATACCCTCCACCATAGTATGGAGAGTATATTATATTTGTCATTCCGTTTGTTAAACCACGACATATACATTTTAGACCCCATATCTTGATCAACATAAAATTCAATGTCGATTTTGTTCGATTTAGCTTCCCAACGAAATGAAGTAGGTTGATAAAATTTTACTCAAATATATATTATGTCTGCAGGACTTTTGGTATTGAAAAAGGGCCACGTTGACCTAGTTTTGGTCTAGCCCACATATAATGGTACCTTCTTATTTTTGGTATTTTGGTGATTTAAGCGACATTATTCACAGGAAATGTTTCCTATGACAGAAAATTGTTTGTGCAGGTCTACGTCTTCATATAGCCCATATATAATGGTACCTCCCGTGATATTCGGTATTTTGATGAGTTTGGCGACATTATTCAACGGAATTGTTTCAAATTTGGTATTTGTTCGTAATAGATACTAAAGCCTAAGACAGAAATTTGTTTGTGCAGGTCCACGTCTTCGTATAGCCCCCATATAACGGAACCTCCCGATATACGGTATTTTGCTGATTTTAGCGATATTATTTACCGGAATTTTTTCAAAATTGGTATTTGAAGTTCGTAATAGATAATACAACCTATGACTGAAAATTGTCTGTGCAGGTCCACGTTTTGGTATAGCCCCAATATAATACTATCTCCCTATATTTGGTGTTTCGTAATGTAGCTATATTCACCGATTTTTTTCAAGTTTCAGATTTAATAATGTGAAGGCCTATGCCTTTGCAGGTCCGTTATTTTAGGGTCTATACGATCCTAATATAACGGCTACACTCGGTATAATTTTTGGAAAATTCGTTCCAAATTGGGGGGGTGTCTTCAAAGTTCACAGTTAGCAGTTAAAATAAACCACAACTTTTGTGTGAAATTGTTTTGAAAGCCTATTAGCACGACACAGCACGTAAATAAAGGACAAATGGCTCCGTCAAAAACAATCCTAATATTTGTGCAGGGCTGTATATCATTATATCAAAAAGGAAATCTACCAAAGTGAATTAGGACATTAGGGGTCTTCTAACATACTATAGTGGTCGCAATAGGTCATAGGCTTTGTTTAATAGTTTTAATTTGCTTGTTAAATGTCTCCCCAGGAAAGGGTATTGTTTTTGGGAGTTTTTAAAGGTCCTCGTTAGATTTTAAAACTAATGCGGCTAATTTTGGTATTTTGAATTCTTATTACTCCCAACCTTGTGACTACGGAGCTCTATAACACTATGTGTTGTGGGTATTATAAGTTTGATTGGGCCAATAATTCTGTAACACCTCGAAATGTTGGTTCCCACATAGAAAATTATATATGGATCTTCCTATCTCGCCGAGCTGAATCGATATAGCTATTTATGTCGGTCCGTCTGTCGGTCCGTATGCCCATGTTAATTTGTAATCACGCTACAGGTCGCAATTATGGTCCGATCTTCTCGAAATTTAGAATGGAGGTGGGGCTAGGGCTAGAATAGAAGCCTATTTGGTAGTCATCGGGTAATATTTAGTAGGTGATATAGACCATACAATTTGTGTTAAATAAAAGTACAGTTTTTCATTAAACCGCGAATAGTTTTAGTCCCGGCGAAATCGCAAATAGACGAACAGGTCAATTCTGACCGTTATGTAGATGCCGAGAGTTAATATATCAGATATATAT